CCCCTCTCTCTCTCTCTCTCACACCCCTTTACTCTGCAGTAAAAGCGTCCAGTCTGGTTTTTGAAAAGATTAAAACTCTCCCCCCCCTCTCTCTATCTCTCTCTCTCCCTCCCTCCGCCTCCCACCTACCTCTCCATTGCTCTCTGAATGCTCAAGAGAAATACCACGCTTAACATTTCCCTCGCAGAGGAGCAACAGAGGGGGACAGCAAAACTGTGTTTTAGCTCCTGTTGACCATTCTACTGTATGTGAATCTCAACTGAGAAGGAATTTAGGATTTTTTTTGTTTGTTTTTCTGCGCATGCTAATCAAAGAGCCATGTTGGAGAGACTACAGTCTGCTTTGAAAACTGTGAAGGAGTCTAAACGTAATTATTTCTTCCACTTTTCATTTCATGTTTACTTAAAACAAGGGGGAGGGTTCTGGTTTGGTGCAGTATTTCAAGTTTGGCTGTGTGCATGAGAGAGAGGTTATAATTCTGTGTTGCACGCTAAAGTTTGCTCGTCAGATGTTGACTACGGCTGTATGAAAGTTGGATCCACAGGCTCACATGTTGTAGATGTCAGATAGTTGATCTGAACTGATGCTGTGATCGATATGTGTTGTGGTTATTATTATTTTTACAGCTGTACTGGATAATGATTGCACAGACAACAACTCGTGAAAGCGCATTTGAGATATTTTTAACCAAGCCAGGCTTAAAGCAGCACACGGCATGATGTGGGGATCTGTGTATTAGAGCCATTAGTGAGCTACACAGGCAGCAAAATGAATGGATTTAACCGGTAGTATTAGCAGTGCTGAGTTCAGCATTAACCACTCTGCACACACACACACACACACACACACACACTACTTGTATGAACGATCCCTGTTAACAGTGCTCTCCACAGTCTCCGGTCATCATGAACTGGGCATCTGCAGGCTGCTGTGGGGATGTCTGCACCGGCTTGATGCATCTGGGCTGCAGAGGGGGATTTTTATGATGGGGGGGGGGGGGGGGGGGGCTGCTCCCACTCCTGAGCAGTGATCAGTGCAGAGCGTCAGAGGCTGGCTGACTGCTGGGCATACTGCAGTGGGATTACTCTGGACAGGAGAACACGGAGAGCCAGAGGAAAATACACTATGATATAAAGCACTCTATTTGGATGCATCTGTGTGTAGTTTAAGCTTGTGTCTGTGTGTACATCTGTCCCAATTCCTCTGTGTGTGAGTCACAGTGTGTGTGTGTGTGTGTGTGTGTGTGTGTGTGTGTGTGTGTGTGTGTGTGTGAGCATGGGCTTTTGCACGTGTATTCACGTGTTTGGCGAATGTTGGATATTGGACCGATGTATTATGCATGATAAGAAGACTATTCGCAAAGCTGCCTTGGCTTTAATTTGACCTGATTGCCGTTTCTGCCTGGGTCACCCAGATTAGACCCAGATTGGAGATGTGGACGCTGAATTAAAGGCTGTACCTTTTTATCAGGGATTACCATTTGAATGTGACATACACTTCACCACAGATTCTAGGAATTTTGATCTCATGGCGCCACATAAGACATTTTAGACATGCCAGTTTCATCCTGAGAGGGATGCAGCCTGAGAGAGCGATGTACCTCAGCTGAACGTGAGTCTCAAAATGTTTATGCTGCCTGATGGGTTACATAAGGCTACTGGCAAGACTTTAGAGGGGCCAGCTGTCACCAAAGCACAGCATACCCTCTGAGAGGGGTCAGGGAGAGAGTATAGGACACAGAAAGAGGAACAGAAGTTAGAAGTCAAAGCAGACAGAGACAGACGGTCCAGCTAAAAACTCTTAAGACGCTTTTTAGTTAGTGCAAAAGATTAATTGAAGCAAATGTATTTTTAGGCTGCTCAATATGTTTCTCATCCACTTCAAACACAGCTTAATTGTGAGTGATCTCTTCGTACAAAAGATAAGACAAATTGAGTTCCTGATACATGCTACTAATTGTCCCTCCTCACTCATCTGTGAGCTCAGCGAGGCTCTCCTGTGTATAATATCGTTCTAGGAGGGATATGTGGTGTGTTTAGCAGGTGCAGAGGCTGGGAGACGACGGACAGAGTTTTCCCACACAGAGGAGAAAGACATTTTGCAGTACCAGCAGAAAGAACTAAATATTGCTGCATGTGTTTTTGTTTTGTATGCTGAAGGCATACTAATGCAGACGGACTGAAAGTTTGTGGATCTTTACAAGAGCTGAGCATAAGAGTGACTGACGCTGTATAAACTGAAGTGTAAATATCTAAAGTCTGTGAAGTTTGACAGATTCGGGACAGAAAAATATTGCTGGAAAGATGGTGTTCCATCACAGTCTGTTCTTGAGGAAGAAGACAAATCATTGAGTGGTGAAAAACAGTTCCTGGTGTGTCAGCGGATGGAGAGATGAGAGGCTGATAAATGGGAAGACGAAGGTGGTGAGGAAAGTGTTTCAAGGAGACAGTGGGGGAGGTGTAAATGAAGGCTTCTGTGGGAAATCATTCATAAAGTAAACCCTGCCAAAAATGATCCAAAGCTTAATTACAGCTTATTTAAGGAATTCTGGCAAAACAAATAAATGAAAATGAAATAAATCGTCCTGCTTTTAAATGTATTTACATTTGACCCCACTTATGACTTTAGTTAAAAGGAAAGTTTTGAGTCTTGATGGTGGTTCCAACTTTAATTGAACTACTCAACAAGTAACTCAAGCTCATTTCTGTACTTTCTTCAGCGGCTTCGCTTCTCCCTCACCGGTTTGTGACGGTACGTCGAGGCAGCCCGGCGGCCAAGAGTGGTCAGATCCGGACTGGAGACCGACTAGAGGCAGTGGAGGGACGCCCGGTGGTGACTCTGCCTCATCGGGAACTTGCTCAGATCCTTCGTCGAGCGGGAAACACTCTGCGCCTCACCATTGTCCCCCGTCCCAGCACCCGTAAGCATACACTCAAGTATCCAGGAAACACACACAAATATATAGCCTGGTTCTTGACTCATGATCTAACTTCTATCATCATCTTTTTGCAGATTCCTCAAGCCTTTCAGAAACCACTGAGTTTGACTCCAGTCACAAAAGAAAGGGTCAGAGGTCCCGTCCAAAGGTGAGGGCAGCGCCATCATTAATTAATAACGTCTGCCTCGTGGTCACTGAAATGACCGGACTTGTAACTCATCTTATCCACTGCTTCAGTATAATATCCCCTGCTGTGATGGTAACCAGTCCTCTCTCTGCGCTCTCGTCTCCCAGCGTGACTCCAGGTATTACAGTGTAGACCTGGATCGTGGCCCGTCCGGCTTCGGCTTCAGCCTCAGAGGGGGCAGCGAGTACAACATGGGTCTCTACGTCCTGGGACTGATGGAGGGGGGCCCGGCCTCACGGAGCATAAAAATACAGGTGTGTCTGTTTGCCGTGTAATTACACAGTTTGTCTGTAAATGTATACCATGCTTTCTACTCATCTTCTCAATCTTAATATTGTTATTTGCACTGCTGTGTGTGAGAACATGCAGTTGTACACAAACTTTTCTTTTGACTAATGCACAACCAAACTTCCAACGGACATTTGAAGTGTTGAGCAATGATGAATAGATACTTCTGAGTACAAACAAGTCTGTACCTGTATTCTGCTTTTCTGTGTGTTTTGGTAAACTTTTCAGTTAAAATCCCTGAAAATGTGTTTTTTCTCAAAAACATTAAATATTCATGACCAATTGAGCAACGATAAAAGTTACAGTTTTGGGAAAAAACTAACATTTTAAAGGTGTTATTTATGAAGAGTTTAATACTAATCTTCTTTATCAGGACTGCGTGGATGTAGTTTGACCATAGTTGACAGTGACTCCGCAGCATAAGTGAATAATCCTACTAAAATGGTGAAATTAGATCTGCTAAACATCAACATGTTAGCATTGTAATTGTGAGCATATGGCCATGTTAGCGTTAGCATTTAGCAGTAGGAAAAATACAGGTTTAAATCAGTTCAGGTAAATTCACCTGCTTCAGTTTCGGGGTCCTGGCTCACTGTTACGCTGTCATGGACTATTGTCTGGGACAGAGCCATCGTTATTGTTACTGATAACACGTCTTTTTCCTGTCATGACGAGTCAAAATGTCTGCTGTATCTTCGTTACTGTTGCACATTTATGCTACAGAATATAATAGGATACAGTATTTAAAGGGATGTCGTGAACATTTTGTTTGTGGCTGCAGGTCAGCGATCAGCTGGTGGAGATCAATGGGGACAGTACAGCAGGGATTACCCACAGCCAGGCGGTGGAGCAGATCCGCAGAGGAGGTCACCGCATCCACCTGGTCCTCAAGAGAGGAAACGGCTACGTGCCCGACTATGGTGAGACACAGTGGGGGGGGATGTTACCAACTTGGGTTTACGGAGGAATGGATGGAAAATATGAGATATTAAATAAGAGATATTAAAAAAACTTGTAAGGTCATATCTTTTGCATGTGATGTTTATCTTCTTGGGTGTGTGATCTCCTTTCTTCTTCTTTTCCTGTGGGTCTAACTCTAACTAACATACTTTCTACCTTTTTATTGTTTCTCTTTCTTTCCATCCCATCTTTTTTTGCTTTTAACCCTCTGGCTTTGGCCTGACTTGGTTTTCCTTTTCTTGCAAACATTCCTCTCCTTTCTGCTCCACTCCTTCTTTTTTCTCTCTCAGTGGAGCTCTCCAGTTTGTCTCTATGTATGACCAACTCCAAGCTAGGCGAGCCTTGCTTCTATGTCATTGGACGGACAGAGAATACGCGGTTGGTAATGGTTCCTGTTAGTTCTCCCATTTTCTGTCTCTCTACATTCCTCTACTTAGTCACCACTGCTGTCTTCACCTGTAGTAAAAGATACCTGACAGCCTGTGTGGTGGACCTCCTCCTTATAAGATAATCTTATTATCTACCTAAGTAATGGTGTAGACATTTACAATATTATACAGATTTCTTGCCTCAATTCCTCTGAACAAGCTGCGCCAGCTTCACATTTTGTAAGAACACTTAATTATTTAATGAAGGGAATGGTGCAATTAGACTATTGTGGAGCATGAAGATAATCAGATGTGTGCCGTATTTCTACTGAAGGATAATCTGAAAGGTGCACTAAAATAGAAAAGCAGCTGTTGTTACACAAGCTGTTCTAATGCACTAACAAAAAAAACAAAAACAAGAACACTTTCTGGATTTTGCGATCCTTTAATAACACATTATATAATGCTCTCTGCCATAGATTTCGCTTATTCTCTCTTTTACCTGCTTATTCAGTCTGTTTTCTCCTCCTCTCTCCGTGTGATGCATGTCCAGGCCGTGAGCACAGAATCACCTCCCCCTCCCTCCTGCATAACCCCAAGGAGCAGGGTTTGGCTGCAGTAGACTCCACCGGGCGGAAGGGGCACAGCTCCAAGAAGAAGAAGAGGAGAAGCAGGTCTTCAAATGGACTCGAAAAGGAGAAAGTGTCGGGAAGGAGCAGGCGAAGACGGGGCTCAGAGGGAAGAGGTCGCTCTGGTTTACAAAGCCCCGTCTCTGAGCTGGGAGAGAGGGCTCAGGAAGCCAGGGACAAGAGGAGGAGGAGAAAAATAGGGTCTCAGAGTTTACCCAGAGGTGCCCTCAGAAATCATGATGATAGTGACACAGACAGAGGGACAGTGAGGGGAAGGAAAAGAGAGAGGAAGAGACGGCGGAGCAAGAGCAGAGAGAGGAAAAGTAAAAGTGAGGAGAGGGTGAGGAAGACAGAGGGTGAAGAGCCTGAGGAGGAAGAGCAGGGGGTGCCTGCTGTTGAGGAGAAGGTGGAAGAAAAGGTGGAGGAGGTTGAAGAGGTGGAGGAGAGAGTCAGTTCAGAGAGAGACGAGAGTGAAGACGACGTTATCTTACCCATTCCAAGTCCGAACCAAAAGATTCCCAGACCCAAACAAAACTCGGAGGTGGAGGGCGAAGAAAACTGGGGCATAGCAGCAGAGTACAGGGAACTGTGGAAAGAGACGGAGCAGGAGAGGCCATGGGATGATGACAGGGGTGAAAGTAGAGAGACAGAACTGAATGAGGATCAGAAAGACGATGATGCACGGAGCTGGCGTATCGAGAAGCCTGCTGTGGTAGATCCGGTGTCAGAGAGAAAGTCCTTCTCCTTCCTCACCTCCACACTGTCCACAGAGCAGCTGTGGGATGATGAGTCAGAGTCTGGAGGCAGTCAATCTGACGGCAGCGTGTCTGCTGCCAGCATCTCAGGCCTCTCTCTGGCCGCCACAGAAGCCGGCGGGCGCAGGGCCGAGGTGCTCCCGGGCCCTTGGCTCACACCCGGCCAGCGGAGGGTGGCTCCGGTCGCGGAGGGGAACAGGAGCCCCGTGAGGCGGACAGGGCAGGGAGGAGGGAGGAGCGCTGTCTCTTGACTTTTAACAGGAAGGAGAGCATGCAGCAGCTGAATGATACAGTAACAGATTCTATCAGTCTCACGCTGTTCGGCCTCGACTTGTTTTTCTGCAGCTACCCACACTACCAACATTTACTCTCAGTCACTTTGATATCTACAGTAGTATGAAGTCATATTCTTTGTGCCTTTTTACAGCTGACCTCTGGCTGATATTAAATGTCGATCACATTTTAACTTGTAAATGACACCAACATGGTAAAGTTACGTCTGTTCTGCTGGTGAAACAACATTAACATTGTCTTTCTTCCTTTGTCTAAGGCACTGTCGCCCTCATTATGTTTCACTCCTCTCAGCATTTTGTTATAGATGTTTCCATGATGACAAGGTATTTCATACACCTTGTTTAAACCTACTTCCCCTCTCTCACTCTCTCTCTGCATCTGTCTTCACTGTACTTTAGCAGAGTAATCCTCTCTGAAGTACCACCCCTACTGTACAAAGACTGCATAGACATTCACTTATACCTCATGAAGATAATAACAGCAATAATAATGCAACTGACTTAGACTATCAGCCGTACATTTCCACTGCACCACGTCGATCTGGGAGGAAACGGTGTGACATGCTTGTACAATATCCTCTTTGTCTTATGTGGACACCTGCGTCAAGTTGTGACGTTCAATGTAACTGAATATTTGATTGTGTTAATGCAAATCCCTTTTGACAGCAGGTGTCAAATCTATATTCTGTAAATATTTGTACAGAAATAAATAACAGATCCTATTGTAAATACTATACTAACTGGAGCCCTGATTTGTATTACTGTATTGTAATACATCATAGACTCATCATAAGACTATATATATATATATATATATATATATATATATATATATGAATATATGCAGTATATCTATATATTACATACAATAGCCACCCAGTCATATTTATTATTGTGTGATGAGACAGTACGTGAAATTGGTATATAGCTTTCGTGATGGCTCAAAATGTAAACACAGACTAAGAACTATATTGTACCTGCCCTATTCATAAATGAATGTTTTGTAATATGCTGCTAGAGTGTGAATTAGGATACTCTATGTTGTGCCCTATTTCAGAAGTCAGCAAAAATATGCCAAAAATATGCATCCGGTGTGCATATTTCAAGTACTGTTAACATTGTGTATGTGGGGTCAGAACAATAACACTGTCTAGTTTCTGGAGAGTGCTGTGCCCATCGTGCCATGTACAGTTGCCTTGGTAACATAAACCACTTTATCCTAACCACTGATTTTTTCTTACTGTGAA